TATTAATATTTATTATTTAAATTTTAAAATTTTCAACCTTCCAGGTCAAGAACTGAACTACGTCAGTGTATTTGTTGTGTCTGGAAAACACATTACGAACAAAAGATTAAGATTCAGAAGCATACAATAAACTATTTAAAAAAAAATTATTTGAGAAGTAATTATTTCAATAAGCACACAGAAGAAATTGTTGCGGATTCCACTGGAATATGTGAAAATGAGTTTTAAGAGTTACAGACGCAATAACACTAGGCTAAATCACACAGTATCAAATGCCAGCTAATTATAAGATACATCATCTAAGAATATACCGAACACTACCAATGTAACTCAGTACTTACTACTTTAAAAAAAGATGAGTTAGATAAATTGATTGGTTCTTGACTTTTAACTACTGGGGTATGTGTTCTGGTAAGGAAGATCTGAAAATATTAGGAGTGTTATGATTTAGCAGTATTATGTTGCTCTACTATACATGAAACTATTTGCAAAGGCTTCTCTTGAAACATCTCTCTAGTATGGCCATTTGTACAAACAGAAAAGCTGATTTTTTTTTAACTACATATAGATACACATATATATAAGATATATTGCCTTTGCCAATGATTAATCCAGTTTTGCCAGTGGGAACAATAAAATTGAATTCTTGTAATCCACCAGGAGGCCCCATGTTCCAGTTGCCTTGGCCTCTACCCCTTCCTCGACCACCAGGTCCCGGTCCACCAGGGTTACCAGCCTAAAAAGAGAAAACAACAAATTAGCATGTTCTATAAAAATTACTGCAAACAAATTATTAATGCCCACTGGTTACATCACATCATTTGTTAAGAAAAAACTAATTTACTACTCATATAGTTTTGACAGTTAAAGTAGTATCTTTTCCAGAAGACCTAAATTACATTTTAGAAGATGTTCTGTATATGAACATCTCCGCATATGAAAAATGAAGAGGGAAAGGACACAGAAGAAAGTACAAAGTTTTGCATGTACAAAGATGTAATTTCTGTCTGCCTTCTGTAAATGCAGCGGTGGGGCTCATCTCAAAATAAACATTTAAACCATCTTTTAAACACCAATTACAACCAAACATAACAGCTTATTGGCTATTAGTATAAGACAACAGAAGAAGCAGTTCTAAAACCAGCCAGATGAAGAACTGCCATGACTCTGTATCAGTCATAATCAATATTATCATTGTCATCCTGACACTTGCAAAACTAACCATAAAAGCAAACATTCATATTTCAGACCAAACTTTGAAATACATTCAAATGACACCATTCAATGATTTTATTTAGTTACACATTCATTTTCAAAATTTTAAGTCTTTCTAAAGTCTGGCAGGAGATTTTAAATGGTAAACAATTTATTACCCAACCTGAACACTTCGAAGGAGATCTGTAATAATTTCTGCAGCATGCTGACATCTGTCAGGAGGCCCTGTGATTTGGGCTATTCTATCTGGAGTTGTTCCATCATCTGCAATAAAAATGAACTATTCCAGTATATGTAATCCAGTAAATTTACACTCAATTCACAGAAATTTATGGACATTATTGCCAACCTGGTTTAAATTGAATCCTAACACCAGCGTCATTCTGTATCTTTTTTATCATCTCTCCATTTCTTCCAATTACAATACCTACAGCAAATCGTGGTATTGGAACCTTAAAGAGGAAAAAAAAAAAGTCAGGATGTCGATGATTCAAATATTCCTACCAAATTCACAGAATTAAAGGGTCACATATTAGAACGGTAAACTAGGGCCAGCCCTATGCCACTCAGGGCTTTTTGAAGTGTGAATTCTGTTTTTAATATTGAGTCACAAGCCTAGCAAATACTGGATGAAAGCATCAAAAGAAAGAGATCTTATGCACTACAAGTTCTCATAGTGGCAGCAATTCCAGTGGATATTATGCTTCTCACAATCAAAGAACAAAAGTTCTAACGGGCGTCAAATGCAGATTCTAGCAGAGGAAACTTTGAGCCTCACCTCTGATGAGCAGTTATAAGCCCAGGACTTGCATAATAGGTGGAATTAAGTATTATTTTGTAAAGGCCAAACTCCAATTTCTATAATGATGTTATATACTTAGCCATAAAACTTATTTGTTTATTTGATAAAAAACTCCAGCCAGCTGAAACTGTCCAGAACTGCTGGTAATTTGAGTGCTGCACACCATTCAAAGTCGTAATTTCAGCAACAATCAAGTAATACTTACATGCCACAACCACTTTTGGAATCTGTTTAAGATTTTTCAGTGGTACTACCCAGCTTAACATTTTAATGTTAACATCTCAAAATACAGTGAACAAGTTTTTCAACCATGCTTACGTCTATCCCTTCATTTCCTCCTATTCTTGACCCATATTCGTTGCGCACCTCTCTAAAGCCACCTTGATCACGAATTAACTCCAGCACCATTTCCTTGGCTTGCTAAAAGAAGAATGAAAGTTCATTAGGTACTGCAACATCAGAATGGATTTTAAAATACTCTGAATTCTGAAGGACTCCTTACTTGAACTTTATAAGGGTCTCCAGTTATCCTAAGGGGCTTGTCTGCACCAGTGTTCTGTGGACCGTCTTGAATCATGACCATTTTGACACCTGCCCGCTCCTATTTGACAAAAGGGAGGTCAATACCCACTCAAATCCAGATTCGGAATTATCACATGTTAAAAAGAAGCTACATACATACCTGTAATTGTTTAATTGTCTCTCCACCTTTTCCAATAACTAATCCTGCTTTACTTGCTGGAATCATAATTTCTTGGACTGCATTTCCAGGTCCATCACCATGATGAAAGCCAGGTGCAGGTCTTCCCTTTTCCACTATCTGATCAAGTAGTCTTTTTGCTGATCTGTGAAGGAATATATAAATTTATAGATACACTTATTCCTACAAGTATCACTTGCCCACACCTATTCCACTTGGAAATTTTTATTTTTTAATTTGAAAAGTTTCTGCAGAAGAAATATAATTACTATCACTAAGAAATACAAGGCCAACTCAGTAAATCTGTAACAGTAACAAACTAATTGCAAGATAATGTGGCAGACCTAAACCCACCCCAATGTCAGAATACAAAAGGCGGTTCCTACCAAACACACATAAGTAATTACCTCCTCAAACACGACCATCATCTCTGAATATAGTTACATTGATCAAACCTTAATTCAGAACAAAAAATGGAAACCTTGTCCTTTAAAATATTTTTTAAAAAGATCTGTGTTAATTAGAAGATTTGAAATCGTTACACTTTTCCTTTTTTAGTGCATTAAAAAAAAAAAATCACCAGACAGAAAGGTTTTTCTAACTGTGCTTAATTTCAGTAGTAATTCAGGTAACCTCTCATTTGACAGTAATTTTTCTTTAATCTACTAACAACCAATCTTAAGACAGATCTATTTTATGTTAAGTTTTTATAAAAAGGAAAGAAACGTAGACTGTAAAATAAACCTAGCTTTAACACCAAGTATTGTGACAACTGCTGCTTGATTCAGCATGCAAAGTAAGGACATTTGTACTTGTAACCATTACCAGAATAGTGGACAAAAGCAAGTATATATCCACCACACATGTAAGTCGGTTGCCATAAAATTATGATTACAGTACTAACAGTAGTTAAAAACTCTTCCCTCTAGTATGCAAGCAGAATAAACTATAATTAGAAAGAAAATTCACATAAAGGAATGACTTCATTAACAGCAGCCTGCTTGGCTGCCATGTAAGAGGACAATGTCATGCTGCTTTCCCACAGAAAAACATGTAGCTGCAGGCCTTACCTGCAAACATGAAGTGGGAGCAGCTAACATAAATGAGGTAATACCAAATATACTACTACACTTAAGATCTTTCCTAGCAAAGCCAGGATAAGTCGGTCTTCAAGTGGTTATACAACCTCTGTGCCAGTAAAAAACCAAACCATTTTCAATGCTATCATCCTCCTCCCTGAACACAGGAAGGCAAAGGTTAACTTTGCTGATAGGTATTGCATAAACACTGCTTTCATAACTTTTGGTATACATTCATTTATACAGAAGACATTAAGAACTCTAATGGGCTGGGCTTTGAGTAACTCCTACTCTTAGACATTACCGATTTTCCATATTTTCCCTGTGATCTTCCAATTTATGGTTAATAGAGACGTTTTTTTAAGCACCGTTTCTTTTTAGTATACATTCACAGATCTCATTCTCAAGCTGAAATCAGTGCCTGGTTAGGTAAGTATTATCTACAACAAGACTTGGACGTGAAAAAGTTGAAGTTCCATACTTCATCTCAAAATTCCAAGTATGTTGAGGGATCCAACTGCAGGTTCGGGGCCTTTTTTCATATCCATACATTTATTTGTCACCAGACTGCCTCTTCAATAGGGGAAAACCATAACATTATAAACATACTATCTAGATACTATATTGAGATCATAAAAAATGAAGCGTTTTGCACAGTTAAATATGAACACATGGAATTTGTTTTACTTACTGAACAGACTCTGGTGTTCCAGTTAGCATACATGACCTTTCAGGCAAGCCTCCACTATCTGTGGTCATAAAATAAAACCAATTTAGCAGTAGTGTTAAGTCAGAAAGAGATTTTGAAATTAAACATAATATACAAACTACTGGGACTTCACTGAAGTAGAATAATCACTGTATCACAGCATTTTGCATTTCTTTAGACTGTGATAATCGCCATCAGCACAAAACATTAAAATATACCTTAAATGAAGGTCCAGGCAATTAGAAGCAATGATCAGCCTTCTGAACTTTCTGCCAAAAAACCCCACCAAAATAGGCAAAGAAAAAACCCCACAAATAGTTACCAGGTGCAATCTGTATTTTACAGCCAGACTCTTGCTGTATACGTGAGATCTGCTCTCCACCTCTGCCAATTACTTGGAGAAAAAAAAAAATAGAAAGATTATTTGTATTAACAGCATCTGCTAACATCCCTCACTGTACTACACCACCACATCTACACTACTTACTGAATCCAACCATCCCATCTGGAACTTTGTATTCCTCTGTCATCACAGACCTACAGAGAATGTTAAATCAAACAAAACACAACAACCATTCAGAGACCAAACTGGCATTATTTATTTTTATATATCCTCCCATTAAACTAAAGAAAACTAGTGCCCTACTTACTTGCCTCCCATTACCTTTAAAAGTCATTATGCAAGCACAGTACTAAGTAAACTAACACCACAGAAAAGTAACCACAAAAAGTTCAAGTATAATACAAATCCATCTAAGTTTTCCTTCATCCTCTTTACTATTAACAGATGCGTGGTACAGAAAAGGCCGGTGTAGCATTTCAAGTTTCATCTGTATATCCACTGAAGTATGCTGAAAATACACACATTTCAGCATCTCATTTACCAAAACCAGCCAAAGCATAAGAATAATAGTTGCACGTGGTGGTTTAGGGAAGAAATGAGTTAAGAAAACTACTAAGTTGTAGCAAATGTAGCTGACTGAGCAATATGCTGTGTTAAACCTGAATTTTTTTTTTTAACCCATTAGCTTTCCTTTTGGTTTACAAGATAGCATCAACCCTTTCCCCTTCAGATCTGCTTCCAACTTCTGGTTATGCTACCTATGCTCAAGTAGTAAAAACCAGCAATGCGTTTTCCTTTTACTAAGCTTGATGCATAACCTAGGCTGCAAAGAGAAAGAAAAAGGCAGCAATGTAGATGCATTTTAAGTGTTTGGCTTGAGACTTGGTGAAGCTAAATTTCAACAGATCACACATGCAGAGTAATTGCTTTATGCATTGATACCACTTTTTCAGAGAAATTTCTTGAAATTGCTTTCTTTCAGTAAAAAAAAAAACAACTGTACATAAGATGGAGTGTAACTCTTACCTCTGCTGTTGATGCATCGGTGGTAGCTGATTTCCAAAAGCTATAAACAAATATTGTTAAAATTAAATTCAAACAAGTAGTGTAATTTACAACTAAGCCTCTCCTTGGATAATAAAACTTAATTGTATCAACCTGTCCAAGCTGACTTTTTAAGAAGTGTTATCAACAGGTTTAAAAACAACCAAAATGACTGTCAGCTGTTGCTAACAACATTGTCAGTTTTACAAAGCAGACTCATGCTGCTTCAAGAAAATAAGACATAAACCCCCAGCCATTCTTTTGATCTTACTGATTCAAGTATCACCTACCAGAACACTGTTTCAAATTCTTGTTCTGACAATGTTACACTTGTTTAGGTTTTTTTTGGCAACAAAATAAAAATTACTTACAGTCATTCTGAGGAGCAACTTTCTTAGCATCTGGTTGATCTGCAAAATTAAGATTTTTTAAATTTTTTTGCCAAGAAATTCAAGAAGTGTTTACACCTTTTAGTGTGAATTGCAACTTTCCAGTGTATTTTAGTCCCCCTTTCCTTTTTTTTTTTTCTCCTTTTCTTTCTTTTTTTTTCCTCCAATTTCAGGGAGTTGATCATCTGAATAAAAGAAAGAATCTCACGAACACTCAGCACTTGGTTAGTATAGCTGAAAAGATGTTAGGTTTTTCCATATTATCTATTCAGTAGTTTAACGAAAGGCAGTTTTGAGAACACACTGTAGATTGCTCATAGATACCCAGTCACTGAAACTTAACTAAGACAAGGAATAAAGTTTAGGTCTGTTGGTTGCTCAAGCTAATGATGCTTCTATAGTAAAAAAGAAAAAAAAAAATCAAATCCATACAAAAATCAACGACTTAGAGAAAAAAAAAATTTCTGACAATGACCACAAATCTAGATCAAACATCTGAAAATACAACAGTATCACATGGCAATGCAATCTCAATCTGAATGTTGATATGAAATTCCTATCCAAATATCAAGCATTTCATAGCATAAAACTTCAAAAAAAAGCAGATTCAAAGCAACTACATCACTACCATCTAAATCCTTTCTGTACAGTAAAGGAATAAAAGGCATAATTAACCTATATCTGAAAAGATAGACTTCAGATGCTTCCTTCCCACCCCAAAATAAAAGGTTATATGAACCACCATAATTTATGTGCAGCAAAAACTCAGACACATATTCCAAGAAATATTTGTGTCAATCCAGAAAGATCCACTAGTTTATGTCATGTTTACATACTAAACACAGGTAATAAATAAAAATTCCTGCCTTTAAAAGGAGAGGGCATTCCCTCCCAGTGTGTTGTACTGCTCGGACTTGTCCAAGAGCCATCTACACATAAAATAAAAAGAATACATTACATATATCATCTGAAGCATCATTAGCTCATTTTTTGTATATTAAAAACCTCACTGTTAATAGAAAAAAAACCCTTTACTACAGGACACAAGAACTCCTGATATAAAGCTTTAGTTACATTCTGTAGACTGAGTTTCAATCCTCTTAAAGGAAAAAAAGGCATTGCTCTTTTGTGAGACCTATGAGAACATTTCAACAAGCTCAGATTTCTTTCCACAATTTAGCCAGGATTTTGTGTGTATATTAAACATATCAAACCCTGTTAAGTTCAAACTGGCTGCTTAGTAAGAGACAGAAGACGACACACACACATTTCAGGAGAAAACTTTACTGCAGTATAAAGCAAATCCAAAGAGCTGCAACAAGTTAGAAGATTTAAGTATGATCTTATCAGGGTTCACACATGCTATAGGTTTAAATATTAGACTAAGCAAAAGTGTCTACAAGGGAGAAAATTTATTTTCCTGTCTTTTTTTAAAGTCCTATGCTTTTACAATGAAATGCATTAATACTTTTATTTGAAACTGTGCAGTAATAAAGTATATGAAACAATCAAATTTAAGGAGTGAGCACTTCCTACTCTCAGTGTAATTTACAAACTGTAATCAGTCCTACAAAACAAGAAAAGACTTAAATGACATACCTCAATCATGAATTTACCTGCCCCCCTCCCCGGCATACATTTTCCTCTTTACAGCATTTAAAACACATTTAAAATATTTTTAAACAGGCTTACATTCACTTCAAGTTAAAGCACAATGGTCTAAACCCAATTTCCCCACTAAACTGAAAATGAAAAAGCATGTCATGATCTATAGAGGGAACAAAATGTTTTTATGCTGTGCTATGGGAAAAAAAAAAAAAGCCACAAACAGAAAAACCACCTGCAATCTTTCTGGCACCATGGCCATACTCAACAAAAACAAATGCAGCAGCAAGGAGTGCATACCTCCATCCTCAAGAGGTCTTTTTTGTCCTCCATAACCGTAGTCGTTGGAATTCATTGATGTGCCAGCATCTCCTCCAATTTTTGCTGCAATCTAAACAAAAGGCAGATGTTGTTAGTAAAAAAAAAAAAAATTCAGTCAGCCCTCATTTATTTCAGGTCTTCTAAACGATTTTAAGCGATTTAAACAATGCATTTTAATAAAATGACCCCAAATAAGTAAACAGAAGGCTGCTGCTAGAAGCAGTTCCACTCACGGAAATTTTATTTTTTAATGTCTTCAAAGAGACTTGCGCTCATTTTTCAACACCAAAGCTTCCTATATTTTCTTAATCGGTTGGGGGAAAAAAAAAAAACCCCAAACCCTGCCCTTCAAACATCAGAAACTTTTTTCTAAAAAGGGGCTTTTCCTTTTCTACCCATTCTTCACGAAACACTGCGGTATCTCACAGAGTGCCTGACCACTAAAACTATTTCAAACCTCAGCAGTCCCGACTACACCGGGTCTGCAAATATTGCCAAAACCGCAACGGGTTACTGCCAGACAAGGCGAAAATTTTGCCCGAGAAATAATGAAAACACCGCCCGTGGTGCAAAAGCTGCAAATAAAACTTGGGGTTAAAGAACTGCCGAACAGACAGCCCTCGCCGCCTTGGCTCCGCAGGCCGCAGCGCTCCCCAACCGGTCTGAGCAGGTTAGCGGGCACCGAGGGCGCCTCGGGGAACACAATACGGGCCGGGCGGCGGAGCCGCCCTCCCTCCTGCCCCTCCGCCGCCCAGGC